GGTCCCCAGCGGGGATTATCCCGCTGGATTCAGCGGCGTGGCCTCCCCTGGAGCCCTGTGTGCAGGGCTGGGCCCCGCAATTCAAGAAGGGCCTTGAATGGCTCCAGAGGAGGGCAACAGAGCTGGTGAAAGGGCTGGAAGGAATGTCCTGTGAGGAGCCGCTAAGGACATTGGGCTTGTCTACCTGGGAGAAAAGGAGGCTGAGGGGCGACCTCACGGCTCTCTACAGCCTCCTGAGGAGGGGAAGTAGAGAGGGAGGTGCTGAGCTCTTCTCCTTCAGATCCAGTGGTAGGACACACGGGAATGGTTCAAAGGTTTGGACTGGACACCAGGAACCATTTCTTTACCAAGAGGGTGGTTAAACCCTGGACAGTGCCCTTAATACCGTGCTTTAACTTGGTCAGCCCTGAAGTGGTCAGGCAGTTGGACTAGATGATCATTTTAGGTCCCTAGCAACTGAAATAATCTAGTCTTAATCTATTTATCAAGCTTACATTCCCCAGATCTTAGGAGCTCCTGGCCCATTAAGTTTTCCCTTGCTTGTCCCCATCTGAAAGATTAACAAAACTGAAGACAATAGAGAACAATGATTTGGCAAATGCTGCTGAGCTGCACATGCAAGAAAAAAAAATTGCTACTCTCATTTGTTCATGCTAATAGTGCTGACAATAGAAGTTTCCTCTTTCCCCACTTGATTCAAAATTCATTTTAACCAACTTGTTCTGTTGGAACTAGGTTTCAGAATTAGTCAAATATATCTGGAACACTTTTTACCCAAGTTATATATATCCTCTATTGTACAAGCTTTATGGTTCTTCAAAACCCCAGTTTCAAATGAGCTATTAGGAAATACCAGGACAATTACTGATGCCAACCAAAGCTTGCATCTGTTTCCCAAGTCAGTGTTACAAAATGTCCTTAGTTACAGGAATTTGACGACTGCACAGTGCCATGCTCTTAAAAAACCTGGTAGAAACATCTTAAGATGGGCAAAGCACAGCTCACAACAGAGTCTTCAGAATGTGCCTCACTGAATCACTCACTGAGGCCATCTGCTGCCCGTGCTTCATGATGACATCCCGTTTGGAAGGTATCTTCAAGTGCTGCATCAAACACTCCTGTAACGTGCAGACACGGTGCGGAAGGAAGCCACCTGTTGCCATTGAGAACTGCAGAGCATCAGCAACCTGTGATGGAAGGGATCGATAGGCCATGACCAGCGTCCGTTAACCCAAAGCAAACAATGTGGAGGTTTGACAGTGGGAATGCATATTAAAAGTAAAGCACACTGCAAACAAATTAATCCTCATTTTGACTGCATGCAGTTGCAAAGCTAGTAATCTGACTCCTTAAAGCTGTTAAGTTACATAAAAGGTTAAATTAAGTTTTAAGAATGACTTATATATGTTCTATTAGGCTAAGGTTCCTTTTAGCCCAGTACTCTCGTCTCCAGACAGCAGGTGGTTAGGAACAGTATCAGAAGAGACTAAACATACAGTGATACTTCCCCAGGATATTTATGGCTTTGCCTTTTACCCCAACCATTGATGCAATGTAAGGAAAACATGATAAAAGAATATGCAAATTGTCAAAGACTTTGTGCCTAAAACCTGATTTTGCTGGTAAGAGTCATCTTTGACAGCATACAGAGCCAGAAGGAAAGCAGACAACAGCCTCCAGCAGTGACCGTGTGGCATGGTGTTTGCTCATTCCTCCTCCTGGTTTCATCCCTTTTACAGTAAGAGCTGGAACAGCCCTGACGCTTGTCCCTAACCAGGGAACATAAAGATGAGAAGGACTATTGCAACAGGTGCAGAGAGAAGACTATGGAACAGGGAAACCTGGAAAAGAGTCCACTCACCAGGGTAACAGAGAGGAATAACTAAAAAGCCTGCATCCACACACTCCAAATCTGAAACTAGCTATCTGTCATTAGAACAAACTATCCGTCTGTTCCCTTTTGAGACTTCCTCTGCTACTCAAAAGCACAGATTCCCATTTTGGTTCCCTGAAGTCCCCACTGACCTCTCATAGCCCTTCTTTTATTCTTACTACTCCCTCCTGAGAAACCCTGAGTCACACACAACACAAGCATCCACAATCCCACCAACAAAACCATGAGCTTACAGGCCGCCCGTTTTACTGCAAAGGTTACAGCTGAAGCCACTGTTGGAGCTGTCCCGCTACACACTGCCCATGTGCTACCCAGACCAGACCACATAGTGCTTGGCAGCACCAGCTCAGCCCCTGCAATAGCGACCACAGAATTGTAACTGACCTCTTCTGGCCTCTTATAGTTAGGGTAAATTCCAAAACCAAACCCCCATTCCTACTTCCCTATAAAGTCTCTGGGGGAAAAACCAAATCTCTCCCTGACCAACAGCAAAGGCAAACAAGCTGGTATGATTTAACGACTAAGGCTGCCACTAAGGCATCAGCTAAATAGCTAATCTCTGCAGCCTTCTCTGGGATAGAAGCCATGTATTTGCTAAGCCTACGAGAAGAAAGTGCCAAGCCAGTCCATTTACTGAATTTCCAAGGAATAAAAGATTATAGAAAGATTATGAAGAAAATGCAAAACGTTAGAGCACAAGTAGACCAAGCAATTTGAACTAAGGAAAGAAATGTCAGACCTCCTATGCTCAGAAGCAGGATGGAGAAACTAGGACTGCTTGTACTTCTGCGAGGCCGACTACCTTGCTGCAGTCCAAAGAAGTCTACAACCACCAGCTGCAAAGTGGCAGGAAACATACCTGGAGAAAGGAACTACAACAATTCAAACTGATGAGTTCACTGAAGAAATTAAAATGGAGAAGATCCAGGTAAAGCTGACCTTCACCAGATTATAGACACAAATCCCTAGGTAAAGAGGAAGTTCCCATCACTCATTACTAAACAGTCCTTTGTATTGTACTTCTGACCACTAAAACTTTCTCTGGCTTTTTACTCTCAGTGGCCAAATGCAGATGAAGTGGAACCTCAGGAAAGAACTTCTCAAGCAATCAGTTACTTTTACTCAAAGTCAAAACAAGAATGATGTTCAAATCTATGGAAATATATTCCATTCTTCTAGATGGCTAGAGAGGCAGTTCCCAGAAAAAAAAACTTCAATGCTTTCCAAACAAGGAGAGAAGACTTAAATATTTAAACAAAAATGAAAGCATCTTTGTGATCAATACTCATAAAGAGTCTACTCTGAATGAAGGGAGTTATAGAATAAACTTGCCCACAATGAAAACAATGTTTTAGTTTTCAGTGTGAAAATCTTTGTCCAAAGTCACTGCATGCTAATGGCTTGGATTCAAGGGCAGAAAAACTGCAACACACTGAAGAGTAGTGGATGTGCATTGATCTGTGGAACCAGACAGCAACAGGGACTTCTTCACTTGTACATTTTATGGTTGAACCCCGCACAGACCTCTGTCTCATGGAAAGTCTCAAGCAGTCATTCTTCTTTATTCTTTCAGCACACACCTCTAGGAAGAATTGTATTACTTCTTTTGGTAGTACACAGGTATGCAATCAATAACATTTTACAGCAGGAAGGGATTTCAGAGCATGAGAATGCTCCAGCCTCCTGATGCATGCAGAAGTGTCCCAGAAGGCAATGTCAGGGATGTAAGCACTGACAACAGCGAGCTGCCTACTCACTATACAGCTTTTTAGGCTGCTATAGCCCAACAGGGACACCCCCTGCCCCCCCAAGACAGTCAGTTGTGAAACAGCAGTACCAGACTTCCACAAACATTATCATTAAAGGTTACTTCAACAGGTGATGCTTAAGTACTATAAGAACATCAGCGGAGAAGACAGTGAACCTTTCACTGCCATCCTCTACATGTGTTAATTATATTAGGTTGCTTATTGCAAGGAATAAACAAGTTGCAGCAACTGGCCAAAACCAGGGATAAGTGACGCCTTCCAAATTATGCAGGTGGGATCCCATCTCAGCCAGAGTTCTTCATTCCATTGCTGTGTTTTTAAGCAGAGTCTCACTTGTGCACATGGTCTGGTCCAATTTTAACAACACTGGGAAGCTGTCTTTAAGAAGTGCTTCACAAAAAGCATCTATGGGAGTTTGCTCAGTGATATCTCGCAGTTATTTGCTCCAGCAGTACAGACAATACAATACAAGACAGCTTAATCCCACAGTATCAGGTACACTACAGGGTAGCCAAAACCAGACTACTTCACCAGTTTATTTACATTAGAAGTAGGATTCAGGCCAATAAATCAGAGTAATTAAATCTAAGCCCAGAGATCTATCAGTGCAAGAAAGGCAGGCATGTCAGCTCACACCAAGACAACAGAACAGTGAGTGCAATTCTGTGTACCTCAGACCCTAGGGTGGATAGTTCTGGTTAGTTATTTCCACTGTATCAGTTACATGTTCTAGCCAGTACAGTTTGGAGCACTGGTGGGAATTTTCACCCCTATGTTTTTCATGCAGTCAAGACTTAACACTGACACTGATATTTGACCTGTAATGGAATAACATAATTGTTAGGAGCAAAAGGCTAAACTAAGATCAGAAGAGGACTGAGAGAAACCTCTGTCTATTAAGTTTACTACACAACCCAGATTAGAGCTTTGAAGAGTTACTATAGGCAGTCTATATCTGACATGAAAAGTCAGTATATAGGCAAGGACAAGTCATACATAACTATGCATACCATATCCATGCCTATTATGAAAGATCACAGCCAATGTGTTATTTTCTTTTCACTCGAAAGGCTCTAATTCTCCTTTTAGTCACACAACATTAACTACCACAACTACCTGGGCCAGCACCAGCAAAAACAGATTTTTGTGGTAACCTGGCCTGTTCTTTCATTTCCACCACTGCATTTATTAGTAGGTGCTTCCCAGTGCTGGATACCTGTAGCCTGAATCTGTTTCTACACTTGTGAAAGGGGCAGAAAGAATAGCAAAGAATATAAAGTCCAGGCAACTGTTTAAGTCACAGTAGCCTCAGATTGTTCCAAGTTTTATCAAGACCAGTTAATATATCTTAAAATACCACATTAAACTTGCTTCTAATATTAGATGTTTACTACCTTTTAAAATGAGTCTATACAAGGCTCTAAACACTATCAGCCTTGCCTGCTGTTTTTTTTAGGTAGAACAAAACCACTACATGATTCAACAACTGTCACATTCTAGTAATGTTAAACCTTCTCTGAAAGAATACCCTGAACAAGGCTGAAGTTTCTTTTGTTGAAACTTTTGTTCCCAACCAAAGTATTTGAAGAGTACCTGTGTATCGAAGACATTGGAGAGAAGGACACCGTACTGGTGAAAGAGGCAGTCTGAGATCCAGCGGCAGTCATGCATGACCTGAAGCAAGCAAGAGCTGTCAGACGAATTTGTGTCCAACTGCAGCTTTTTTTTGTGCAGGTAGATCATTATATATGTATATGACCTCTGCCACCACAAATGTTCACACAAACCCTGTACCCTTACCTTCACAATGTTTTTATCTTGCAGCACCATTTGTAATCCATTTTTGAAAGCCTGAGGTCCCAGAAGGAAGATATCAAATAGAAAAATATGGCGCTCTGTTGCTATCTACAAAAAATTCAGTTGCAGAGAAAATGAGTGAGGGGCAGAAGAACAAAGGACTTGAAAGTAGGAGAGAGTGCAGTGTTGCCCACAAGCCGTAAACTCCTGTGTACAGGCTTATGGTGGGGAGACCAGGTTTAGCTTCCTTAATGCTAATTCATAAAAAAGTCTTGTTTTTCCCAGAGATTCTCAAAGACTCTTGCAATAATTAGAAACAACAACCCAGTAGTCTACTATACACAGTTAAATACAGGATTTTGAGACATATCTAGAACAAACCCTATGCACAATACTTAAAATAAGTTCCTACACTTATTATAGTGCCACTTTTAAAGAACCACTTCCAACAAAATTCCTGTGCCCATGACATTCCTTTCACTGTCAAGGACTACTACCAAAGAAATAAAGGACATAATTTTCCATCCTAGCATTTCAAACAGGATATAAAATTGAGGTTTTGCCTATGTTCAAATTCATTATGGTTTAACAAAAGCTGTTATTTGAAAGCAATTTAGCCATACCAAAGCAAACATTTTGTGGACGCTTACTTCTGCATAAATGAGTTAGGACTGAAGCATGAACTCCCACACAAGTTTTTGCTTCGGATAAACACTCACTTTTAAACCTATTTAAAAATTAACTAAGATGATCTTGAGCTAACATATTAAGCTATTCTCCTTTCTGTCCCTTCCTTTTCAAATGTTGATAATATCACAGCTAATTAAGAAACTCTATCTTCTTTAGATGGATTTTACTCCTTCCGTTATACTGGCATTGTGATTAGGTCTTGCAGTTTTTCAATAGGTAACAGCTGACAAGTGTAGTATCTCTACCCATATACATGTATATAAAGATGTCAAACCAAATACATTGTCATATACAAATGTATACATTACATATAAGTTCAGTAATTATTATTATGTTGTCTTATAATGACATAATTCTTTCTGTAACAGGTCTTTTACGATCTGTCTTGAAGAACATTATATCCCTTACCAAAACAGTTACATCAGTGAGTCTTAAACATAGGCTAATCCCCGAATGTTTCTCAGTTCTGCCTCTGTTTAGTGGCACATTTTGGGAAATATCTGCCTCTTACCTCAAGCCAGGAGAGTTTTCCATGACGACACAAATTAACACCTTCTCCTGCTATACTGACAACATGCTGCTGTTTTAGGTGCAGCACCTAATGGAAAAAATAAGGATAAAATAAACAGTGCCAGAGAATGATAGGCAGTGGTACAAATAGTAAATTGTGATTTTTCTAGTCATGATCCATGTTTAAAAAGGTAAATACAACCCAAACCACAATGAATCTCAGATATATATACTCATCTAAGAGGAACAGACACAGTATCAGTCCAGTTACAAATAGACAGCTGGAAATTCCACAACTAGAAACATCAATGATAGGTTTAGCAGAGATTATAGGTAACTACAGAATATAGACTCCCCTGATCTTTCCCCAAGAAATTCTCCTAAGTAGGTTTTAGGAACTTCCTTAAGATCACATAAAGGTGGTGCTCCTTTCAGATAAAAAGCAGAACTCATTTTCTAAGGCACAAAAGAAAAACCTGTTGCTCTCAGACACAAAAAGTTTTCACACAATTAACACAAAGTAACCTATAGTGCATATGTAACACAGGAGGGCATAAACAGAAATAAAAAAACAGCTTCTTTTTCAAGCAACCATTAGATTCCTCTGTAAGCAGTAAAATCTTTTCCTGTGGGGAAAATCTTTTTCCTCTGTATGTGCAATACATTTACCATAAGAGTCCAAACCACAACTGATATTACTGCAAAACAAAATGGCATGGAGGACCTATAGTATTGCTGGTCTAACTCAGGATCTAAAAAATTCTATTAAATTTAATAATAAATCTATCATTGACTCCAAGGTCTGAAACAAAGCTTTTCTATCAAGTCCGCTTACGTTACTATACATGACTTAAGAGAAAAAGGTCTAGGCATGTCTGGAGTTTCCAAACACCTACAAAACCAACACAACCAATTCTCCCCCGCAAAAGCCAACAAATCCTCATGTTGTTCCCTTCCTAAACAAAAACCAATGTTCACTAAATAGTAATACTGACCCTTCGCCTAGTTACTGGTGGCAGTCTGAAAACAGCAACCAACACACAGTGATGCAGGTTTACATCCACCCACTGCAAACTCATGTGCATTGCACTCTTTCCCTGCATATATGCACACTATAAATATACTTTGATGCCACCAGAGATATCATTTCTACTTGAATTAAAAAAAGTCAGTTACTACCTATTACTCAAATTTCACTACAGTCTTGTAAAAGCAATTTCTAGCATAGGCCGTTGTGAAGTCACATATGCTGCAGAAAAGCTTTCTGTAGTACGTACTGCTGGGTCAAATTTCTGCTGGAAACTATCAACAATTGTGTACTGCACATCCTCTTCTTCCTTCTCCTCTAAAAGGAAGAAAAAAGTCATTAGACACTTCCTCTACTTGTATGAACTTTGCACAGATATGTATTTTAGTTGTGTAATCACTCTTCTAGTTTAGCTATACAGTTCTTCCCTATTTCCTGAACACACCCAAACAGATTGCTGAACTGATTGATTCAGTTGTGTACAGTCTAGAGCATGACACAAAAATTCTGTTCTTCAACAGAAAAACTGGCTGTTTAGAAGCAAGTTGCCACATTACTTTATTGTTATGCTGCATAAAGGAAACAAAAAGGTTTCAGTTTAAAAAATTACATCCATTTTAAAAAGCGCAGCACCCTAATTCCCAAGCTTGTCCAAGGAAGGAAAATGATTATAACAAAGACAAAAGTAAGTGACACAACAGAACATGGACAGCTAAGTGATCAAGGGGCCAAAGAGAATTCAAGCCAGATTTTAGTATTTTTAAACATTTGTTTAATAATGTCTAATGAACAAGTAAAGAAGGGTTCCCTTAAAGATTCTCCCTTCTCTTCAAGTAAGATGCAAATGTTAATAATATGCTTCCATGACAACAGAAGGCAATCTTTTAAACTCTAAAATAACAGTCAACTGAAAGACTGTAAGAACAAATTTTTAAAGGTTCTCCCAGATCACGTGAACCCTTGCTCATTTTCTCCCCCACTACCCAAGTAAACGCAGCTAACCTTCCTTTAGCTTATGCAGGCCTCGCACTCTTGTCATGGCTCTACAAGAACAGAACAAGCCCGTCACATTTTAGATCTGTACCTGTGTATATGTAAGCAGCAGGAACCACACAACCAAATCAACGCAAGCACGTAACAGCCAGCACAGAACCAAAGTCTGACTCAGCTCTGAGTTATCTATTGTACCACGTACATTTCAGGAATAAGTATACGATTAAAACAATCACCAGAGAGGAATGCTCACTGGCTGATGCACTTTGATTTCTCCAGAAGATTGGTTGTGCTGCTCAGCCACTTTCACAGTTGATGAGGGCTATGGGAAAAACATTCTAGAAAGCATATGAGTTTCCTTCTGATGTTGTGTACATATCTGCAGGCAAAGAACACATCTGCAGGTAATGAGCTCTGTAGCTATCTTTCTGTGACCACTATTCTTTCAGCATCCATCCTGTTCTGATACAGGCAAACCTGATCACAGCTTCTGGGAAAGATGCTGTCTGACAAACTAACTACATTGATTGACTAATATCCATGTTACCTGAGAGGGAATATTTTAAGGTGTCTGAGGATCTGAGCTGGCTCTCTAGGGATATGCAAGGAGAACTGCAGGGGCCACATTCTTCTGGTCCCGTGTCTGCTTGTTTGTTCCCTTCAATAGCTGAAGTGCACCTGCACGAGCAAAGCAACCACACATAGCACAGAACTCAAAACAGTACACATTCCACAAGTATGGACATTTTAATAGAGAAAATTATTTCATCCAATGCCATCTACTTGTGTCCAAACAATGAACTGCTGGATGTGAAGCAACTTAACTAATCCAGTGTCCATGGTTTTTAAAGATGATCTTGAAGCTACCCAACAGTAAGTTTATTTTGCACAAAAATGCCTTTATTTCAGATAAAAATTCATATTTATTCTTAAAGGTGAAAGCAGAACCTAAGCAGTAGTTCACTGCAAAGGTCAGCAATGGTTTCAAGGAAAGAAAGAGTTCAAAGTACAACGAATAGAGTACCTGACCTGAGCCCAAGAACCATGCAATTTAAATATCTAAGCCTGAACACTGAATCAGTAATATTTGATTCATTAGTTAGTTACTGTAATTGGAGGGCAATTTGACAAGATCACCAATACATAAACCAGTTATATCCACTACAACTTTACTGTAATCAAATGGAAGTTATTAAATCATATAAAATGGGAGCATGTAGGACAAAAGAAAAAAAAAAGTTAGTAAACATTCACCTACATTCACCTGACTGAAAGATGTCACATATGCTTAATTTCTACAACAGGTCAAGAATACTTCACTGGGAAACATGACTTATTAGTATAAATTTCCTTATATTGATAGAAAATCCCATTATGATTACATATCTCCCATCATGTACATTACATCTCTATCTCAATGGCATTAAATATAAAAAACCATTTCTGATCAGCCTTTAGATGTAGCTGAAAAATCCTGTATATAAATATTGTATATTTAAAGGATTAACACATGAATCTGCTACCGAGGTGAGCATATTCAAGCATGTGTCAATGTAGGCTTAGTTAACAGGGAGAAAGAAGACAAGACTGCAGCAAGCGAGACAACTGCTGCTAATCACAATTCTAGATGCATCTTAACTATATTTTAAGGACTATTCAGTAGACACCACTATTCTTCCTCTTAAGATAAGTAGGAATGAAAACTATTTAAATGCGGTCTTGTGAGAAGACTCAAAGCAAAGCCATCTAGGAGCATGGGTCTGCAGGAGTTTGAAACATTTTTACCAGCTTCCCAAAGTCACATTTATATGTTGTAATAGCATGTGTATAAACCTAATCTTCCCTGTGCAACTGTCCTGGAACTATTCCACCACAGAAGAAATACTCATGGGAAACCTCCCATGAAACCACAAGTTGACAAGGAAACAAACGAAGAAAATTCTACCTAGGAGCACTAGTGCAAAGGAAAAAAAGAGAAAAGCGAGCGAGGGAAATTCTAAGCAATGGCTTGAAAGACCCTTTTACACAGTGGAGGTCTTCTGCTCACCACCTTGTTCACCTCTTTAGAGCAGAGAAATACAAAGTTGGCACAGCTGAGCCTAAACATCAGTATTACACTAAATGCAAGTGGTGGCTCCCCTAGCCAGTGCATCCCATCCCTTCACCTACTGTGAAAGAAAGGAAACATTTTAACGTACTCAGAGAGCATAGATGTTCCCCTCCCTGAATCTGGTTCATCCAGCAATTCCACTGCAATAGAAACAAACAATTTATACTCTAGCACCAACAGCTTTTTGACACTCATCTCCCCCCCATAAAAGAGAACCGTAACTGTTACTGTATGGACATGACCATACACGCAAAAAAAAAAGCAACTGAACTCAAAGTATCGTTTGAATAATTTTAAACCCACTCTGATAGACAAATCTCTACAAAATAACTTACATTGGTAGTGCAGATAAGGTGTATTTCTGAACTCTAGCATTTAAACAAGACTAACGGCTTAGCACCCCACCAAAACCAAACTCAGTATTGAGCTACAACTAATTACTTTACAGATTATTATATATAAAGCAGGTGCAAGGAAAAAGGCAGAATGAAGTCAGTTACTATCATTTGATAAATCCAGTAGCTGCCTTTTAGCTATTCCCTCCTCAGTGCTTTGCTCCTTGTCCCCAAAGCAAAGCAAATGCCAAGAGAAATGCACAAGACCTTTATACACTAGAAATGCTTTTCTTAAATAATCTCATATTCTTATCAGTAGTGTATGATGGAAAGAGGCTCAGACCATTTAACAGAGATGTTTTTGCCTATGTGAGTAAAAGCAAAACCAAGTTAACTAGAACTTTAAGCAATTTAACTTCCCAGGAGAGTCAATTAGTGAGTCTTCCACATATGCACTGAATGTAACTTGCCTTCAGAATACGAACAGGAGGCACATTTATCTCAGCTGATTACTTTCCGAGTGGTTTATTTCATTACTGGTGTTATTGGACTTAACTAATAAGCTTTAATGCAGTACAGTCGCAAGACCTTCACAAAGTGGGGAATTAGTATTATTTCACCGATAGATAATTGAGGAACAAAACTCATGTGATTTACAAAATATTCTAATTCCTAGTGATTTTAAAATAAAGATGTGCAACTGAAAAATTCATCAGAGCGACCAAAAAATGGATTTAAAATGCTGAACGAAGAGTAAGCATGACCCCTATGCCCCAAAGTGAGAAAAGCCTCACCATTGACTATTTCGTGGTCAAAAAATAGCTTTACTCCTGGAGTGCTTCTGCCAGTTTCCAAGTTCTTCACTGAAATGAGGGAGGAGAAAAAATACAGACATACATCAAGTTCCAGTGTTTGGAGTGAAAGCTTATCATTTGCAAAACCAAGACCACAGGACAAAGCAGTACTATTAACTACAAAAAAATAATCAAAAAATGGGTTGTTTTAAGCAACGGCTCTTTCCCTCTACGGAAGAGGGTTTCCCCAAGAGGGCTGTGCACCAAGCAGGACACGACTCAGGGCTGCTACACCTACACGGTCCCGCAGCTGAAAGCACAGCCAGGTGCAGCCAGCTTCTAATCCTCGTGTACGTTTTATTCATCCCAGCGCCCGTCTGGGCTCCCGGGAAGCACCCAGGGACGCTCCGGTCGGGGTTGACGTGATGCAGCACCCCCTGGAAAACGCCACACTTTAAGGTGATTTTAAGAGTTTTCTCTAGCAAGGGACCAAAGCGCCCACTGCCGAGGGCCATGGCAGCCCCGGGGACAGCGCTGACCCGGCTGAGGTGCCACCG